AAGCTCTTGATATTCTGGAAGACAGTAGTATCTCAAGGAAAAAAAAATGGAGATGCCAGACAGTGGTTCAGTAATAACAACCTTGCTCTGCAAGGTTGACCCATGTGGAGAGGTTCTGAACAGGTTCACATCTGAAGACCTCCCAGACACTCCGGGCACATGTGTGGCCATGATCCAGGCTGGCTGAAGCTGGGGGTGGATCACAGCATGAAGATTGTTGGAGGTATGTCCCTTCCCCCAATCTCTCTCTCTCTCTCTTGCATATGGAAAAAACTTTTTAAAAAGTAGAGAGGGCCAGCCGGTGGCATGATTGTTAAGACAGCTGGATTCTACATGGCTGTCTGCACAATTCAAATCTCAGACCCAGTGGCCTGAAAAACACACCAGGCATATGAGCATTCATGCCCAAAATCCTGAAAAGAGAAATAAATGGAGGAGAAGGGATTGCAGTGTGACTATCTCCCATGGGGGTGGGAGTGCTTCTCCCTTTCTCTCTGGTAAGTGCATACATTCTCTGGTCAAAAAAGGAGTAAAGAAAGGTAAGGGGGATCAAATAGAAAAGTGGAGGGCTCGTGGTAGGGGTACAGTTTGGGGTGCGATTTTAAATAACAGTCAGGGTGAGCCTTATGCTTATCGAGATGGTGACATCTGAATAGACATGAAGGAGGTAAGGGAGCTAATGATGCAGATGTCTGGGTAAAGGGAACAGAATAAGGGCAGGACATGTGTCTGGAGTATTCAGAGCACAGCAAGGAGGCCAGTGTAGCTTGAACTGATGATTTTGGGCAGGGAATTAGTATAACTTCATAGAATTAAAGATTGCCATGAATGGTGGGAAACAGTTTGGAAGTTGCTCCTTTAGAGAGGTGGTTTTGTTTTGTTTTTTTTAAGAGGTTTTTGCTATAGGGTGTGTGCACTTGCCAGACAGAGAGACAGAGAGACAGAAAGAAGAAATCACCCCCCGGGGGGATGGCCACTCCACAATTCCTTCTCCATTCTCCTCTCGGGATCTTGGGCACGCACGCACACGCGCCCGGCATGAGTTTTAAGCCACCGGGTGCAGGATGCGAACCGCGGTTGACTACATGGGAGTCCAGCGATATAACCACTACACTAACTGCTGGTCCCTAGAGAGGTGTTTTGATAGGTGGGACTTTTCCCCTGGGTGTAGTTAACAAACACTTGAAGTGGCTACGCATGAAATGTGATGGAAATAGGAGCAGAGGTGGAAGAGGAAGGTACCCTCTCCTTAGAAGCCTTAACATCCATAGGAATGTTAACCATATCTGTGTAGACACTGTTCTCATTCACCTTTTTTTCACTATACGTTTTTACTTAGGGAAAAAAAAAAAAACGATTTTGCCATTCTCAAAGTTGAAGCCACCTGGACATTAAGAAATTAGGACTGTTTTCTAAGGAGAAAGCTGAATATGGAGACCATATTTCTTGGTGTCTTACCTTGATGGGGAGAGATCAGGGCTTAGTTTCTGCTGGCTCCAGAGCTCAAGAGCGCTGTGCTTAGATGAGCCACTGGCCAGCCCTGTTACTGTGTTTTGATTTGTATTTATCTGATGATTAGTGAAGTTGAGCATTTTTACATCCTTATTAGCTACTTGTATATCTTTTTTTAAAAAAATTATTTTATTTGTCTTTATTTATTTTAATTTGACCAGAGAGGGACAGAATGAGAAAGAGAAAGGGAAAGTGAGAAGGCAAGGCTCCAGGTCAGGAACTCGAACTGAGGTCAGCCATGTGGGAATCCTTTAACCACCGTACCACCTGTCAGCCCCCGTTATATATCTTTTTTAGAGAAATGTTTAAAGCTCTTTGCCCATTTTCTAATTGGTTGGATTTTTTTTGTTTTGTTTATTTGTTTGTTTGTGGTTTTTTGGTGGTGGAGCTTTAGGAGTTCTCTATATGTTCTGGATATTAATCTAAATATTATAGACTTTTTAATGGAAGAAAAAGGCATTTATTAGGCTAGGTTTGTAGTACAGCAATTAAGGAGATGGATCCACATGGCCAACCACTGTTGGAATCATGCCCTCATGACTTGAAAACCATTGGGCGCATGTGCGACCATGTGTGCCCAAATTCCTGACAGAGCGAAGAAATGAGGAGAAAGTATTATGGTTTGACCACATCCCATTGAGAGATGTTTTCTCTCTCTCTATCAAATGAGTACACATGTTCTCTGGCAATCAACAACAACAATAATAATAAAGACTACAGATGTAAAATCAGAAAACCCAGGCCAGCAGATGGCATGGAATTTAAGGCAGCTGAATCCTGCATGGCCAACTGTGGTTTGAGTTCCAAACCTGGTGCCTTGAAAGTCACGCTAGGTGTGTGTGCATGTGTGCATGCCCCAAATCCCTGGGAGTGGAGGAAAAGGGGTTGTGGTGTGACCATTTCTCTGTGGGGTGCTTTTTCACTTTTGCACTCTCTCTCTGGTGAGTCAACCCTACAGCAAAAAACAACAACAAAAAAAGAGTATGATGTTTTTAGGACAGAGTCCACACAGGGTGTATGGCAAGAGGTGAAATTTGAAAGAGGTGATTCAGTAGCCTAGGGAAGTTGGCCTGAGGTAGAGAACTATATAGAACAATGCTGCCCAAAAGAAATATAAGCTACTTGTGAATTTAAAAAATAATAATAACCAGCCTCAGGCAGTTTTTTAAAGAATTATTTATTTTATTTATTCATTCATTTATTTTAATTTGACCAGAGACCAGAGAGAGACACACACACACACACACACACACACACACAGAGAAAGAGAGAGAAAGTGAGAAAACAAGACACTAGATTCAGGACTTGAACCGTGGTCAGCCATGTGGGAGTGTCCAGCGCCTTAACCACCACACCACCTGCTGGTCCCCGCTACTTGTGAATTTTAAAGTTTCTATTGGCCATTATGTAAAAAGAAACAAGTGAAATTAATTTTAGTAACATGCATTATCTAATCCACTGTGCCCAGAATGTTATTTCTTTTTTTAAAGAATTATTTTAACTTTATTTGTTGGTATTATTATTATTATTATTTTCCAGTTTGATCAGAGAGAGACAGAGAGAAAGAGAAGGAAAGTGAGAAAGCAAGCCACCAGGTCTGGGCTTGAACTGTGGTTGGCCATGTGGGAGTCTAGTGCCTTTAACCCACCATTCCACCTGCTGGTCCCCAAGTGTTATCATTGCTCATTATCATGTAAATAACATTAAAAATTACAGTGAGGTGGATCAGCAGTTGGTGTAATGGCTATGTCGCTGGACTCCCATGTAGTCTACTGCGATTCAAGTCCAAGACCCGGTGGCTTAAACTCACACTGGGTGTGTGTAGGTGTGTGCCTAAGATCCGGAGAGAAGAATGGAGGAGAAGGGATGTAGCATGGCCATCCCCCCTGGGAGGGTGATTTCTCGCTTTCTGTCTGTCTGTCTTTTCGGCGAGCTCATGCGCCCTATAGCAAAAACCTCTCAAAAAAAAAAAAATTACAGTGAGGCATTTTATGTTCTTTTTTTGGTACTAAGTCTTTGAAATCCAATATGTGCTTTATACTTAACTACACATGCCAGTTTGGACTACCCACATTGTAAGTATGGCTTACAAATTTGTTTGTTTGTTAATATTTAAAACCAGTCGCATCAGGGAGACATCTAAATCCTTAATTAAAAAAACACAAATGGGGACCAGCAAATGGCGTCATTGTTACGTCACTGGACTCCCATGTAGTCGACTGCAGTTTGAGTTCTGGACCTGGCAGCTTGAAACTCACACCAGACTTGTGTGCATGCATGCCCAAAGTCCCAAGAGGAGACTGGAGAAGGGATTGTGGTGTGGCCATCTGCCCTGGGCAGTGATTTCTCACTTTCTGTCTCCCTGTCTCTCTGTCTCTCCGGCGAGCACATGTGCCCCTATAGCAAAAGTTTCTCTTAAAAAAAAAAAAAATGAAGAGCCAGCTGTTGGTGTGGTGGTTAGGGTGATTGACTCCATGGTTTGAGTCCCGGATCCAATGGCTTGAAAAACATACCAGGCAGGTGACGTGGTGGTTAAGAGCACTGGACCCCCCCATACACCCAACTGTAGTTTGAGTCCCAGACCTGGTTGCTTGCTTTCTCACTTTCCCTCTCTCACACTCTGTGCCTCTCTAGTCAAATTAAAAATATATAAAATTAAATAAAACAATCCTTTAAAAGAATCTTGAGAAGAGAATGGAGGAAAACAGCAGTGTGGCCATCTCCCTGGGGGCGTGGGGGAGGGAGAGGGTCTCTCTCTTTGACTTTCTCTCTCTCTCTGCCCCTCCCAGGCAAGTGCATGTGTCCTTTAGCAAAAATTAAAAACAAGAAAACAAACAAAAGCTAAAAAAAAAGAAAAATAAGGCTTAGATTTAAAGAAAAATATGTAAGTAAGGATACAGGTTTTCAGAACAAATAACTAATCATGATTTCCTTACCTGTCTTACTATTGGGTTGTCAGAACTAAGTCACGATGTATTTTTTTTCTGCTTTTCTGTGCAAAAATGTGTCATGACTTTCCTGACGACTCAATAGATCCTTTTCAAAATTACATAAACAACTATTATGATATGTATAGGACATGGTGATTAGGGTGGCTAGACCCCACATGGCCAACTGTGTGGTTTGAATCCCAGAATCAATGGCTTGAGAAACATGCCACGTGTGTGTGCACGTGTGCCCACAATCCCGAGAGGAGAATGGAGGAGAAAGGATTACAGTGTGGCCATCCACCTAGGGATGGGCTTTCTCACTCTGTCTCTCTGTGTCTCTCCTTTGAACATGCACACCCTATGGCAGATTAAAAAAAGAAGAAAACAACTAGTATGTATAACCCAACATTTCTTCCTCATACACGTCAAATGTGTGATCACTGCTTCTGATAGGTTCTCCAATCTGTCCCCAATATTGTCATGGGAACATTCTTTGAGGCAATCCCTAGTTAAGCATGAATGT